AAATTGCATTAGTGCAGGATATACCCTGTCAATGTCTACACTTTAACTTAAGAAAAAACTATCAGTGTTGGGATATAACGGGCACTTAGCTTTATCAGTGAACCGGGCAACCATCATCCATAGATATGATGATAAGATTGAATTTTTAAAGCTTTTATTTTAAATTTAGGTAAGCATTTCACGTAATCCTTTTTTAACTCTGTTTATGCTTATTTCGAAAATGGCACAAAACATTAATATGGTGAAAAGCAGCAGTTTTGTGAAAATGAAAAGCGTTTTTTGTCTAATTTTTTAATATTTAAAAACTTACTTTTAACATTGACAGCTTCAATTGCAATTGGGAGTTACGACATTTTCTGTTGGAAAATAAGAAGATTTAGTCGGAATTTTGGAAAACTGCTGAAAAAATAGATTTTTTTTTACAATATGTTGCTATTCATACAAAGATGCCAAATATATAAAAATCTCAATAAAGAGTTGGTTGGTTTCTTAATTGCATGACAGCATACATAAAATATAGTTTGGATTTTCTTTCTCTGTTAAAGCATTCTGTTTTTATTTTTTGTAATCGAATTTTTGAGCTATAGTACTTTATACAAAAAATAAAAGTACGACTAAAATCTATTTACTGGCCTAATGAATATTTTTTTTAAATATGAAACTTTGTTTAATGGGTTGGTTAATGCGTATTTTTAAAATATGAACAGGCCGTGTAATATTAGTACTTGGATCTACAAGGGGCTGTTAAATGAAAACCGCTATTAAAACAATCTTAGCCAACTATGCTGTGATGAAGGAGAAATGCACATTCATTGCTGTAGAGGTGTTTTTTTCGGCATTGAGAAAAATGAGTGTCTAAGGCAGAGAGTTCTCAGGAGGTGTGAGTATTAAAAAGAAAATAAATAAAAGCTACCGAAAATCGAAAATTTATACGAAGCCGGAATTGACAGACAAAAAATTACGAATTTAAAAAATAATAAATTTAAAAAAAAAGTTTGTGAATTGATATTGGGTGTAGAAATAAGTTGCATCATAAGATGGTAGAAGGTTATGTGACTGGTGTTAAACGTTTTATTGTTTATCTGGTAACAACCTTAAAGTATTCCGTATTAGCATTACGTAATTGTTTTCGTGCAAAAATGTCATTTAAACGTCCACTTTTCATTTACTTCTTTAATATGCACAAATCTGCAGCTGAGGTGCATCGATTGCTTGGATAACTTGCTGCCTTACGTGACAAAAGTTGTCGTAAGTGGTTTCAAAGTTCAAGTTTAAAAACATTTGACGTGGAAGACAAAAAGCGCAGGCCGAAATTAAACGAAGACGAGGAATTGGAAGAATGCTTGGAGGAAGATTAATCCCGAACGTGCTATTACATTACAAGTGACTCAACCAGCTATTCCACATCGCTTAAAATAGCTGGGAATTACCCAAAAACAAGGAAATCGGGTGCCATATGAACTGAAGCCAAGAGTCATTAAACGTCGATTTTTCATGAAAATTGATTTCGCTATTTTTAAACAGTTCAATGAGAAGTTCTACCCCACCCGCTGTTTTTACCAAACCTTTCCGCTTCAGATTATCACCTACTCCGGTCGATGGCACATGGTCTGTCTGAGCAGAAATTTACATTATTTGAAAAAACCAAGGAATGGATCTATTCATGGATAGATGAAGTCTGATAGGGTGTCTGAATTTTCCCAAAAAGATGGGAAGTGTCAAGTAATGTAGACTTACTTTCACTAAAAGATAATAGACCGTTTTTTCATAATAAACTGTTAATTTTTGATGGTAAAAGGTGAAAACTTATTTGTTCTCCCAATATTTTAGATTGATTAAATATCTTTCTTCCACTCAGAACAAAGTAATAGGTTGAACATTTGCTTGAACCTCTGACGAATATTCATGTTTGAACTGAATGCGCAAAGATGAACAACATATTTTTCAATCAGTAACACTTATAATTATCCTAGAATCTAATTTTGAAAGAAAATGTAATAATTTAATTGTTTTCCTTCAAAAATCTGGTCCCTTTTTTTAAAAAAAAAGAAAGAAAAGGAAAAAAACGTATTAAAAAATACATTTTTAATTCTTTCTTTTTTCCAATTCAGTATTTTTGATGCTTATAGTTGCGTGTTTTTTTAGGTAAAAAATAAGAACAGGAGAGAGAAGAGGGGCAATAGGTTACAACCAAAGAGGTCGATAGGTGACAAAATATGAGCCACTGGTCTAAAGGTACAAGAAAAATTGCTGTGTATAATAAATATTATGTATGCCCCTGATAGGTAAGAGATGATGAATTCTGGTGAAGTCATGAACCCAAGTCAAAGTTTTTGATGGTTTTCTATTGATGGACCAACATAGTCTTGATGATAATCATGAATAATTCCATCATGAACCATTATATTTTTTGATGGCAACCAACATTAGTAACCATCACCTCAATGTAGGAATTCGGACTGATTTATAATGGTCCAACATAAGAATAACAACTTGAGTTGATTGTTTGTTTATGTTTAACCATCACGAATTTCCATCGTAGTATCCTAGAAATCAGATGTTCAAGCGATCATGAACAACCACCCTCCCAATGTTGGAATTCGGACTGATTTATGATGGTTCAACATAAAAAAAAACCAAGTTACTTTGATTCTATATTAATGACAACCAACAAGAATTCCCATTAAACCATCATGAAATGTATAGTTGGAACCATCATAGATTGTTGGTCGATGAGAGTCTAACTTCTCTTGATTGTTAACGATCATAGTATTTAAGTAACATTTTCCATCATAGAATGATGGAAATTTGTCAGCATACCAAAAACCATGAATACATAATAGAAAATGTTGGATGATGGGGACCATCAAATGATGTTGGACCATCATGAATCACACTGAAACCAACATAAACCATCGAAATTTTTTGATGATCCATCAAGAATTTTGACTTAGGAAGACATTCTTTTTTAAGAGTAGACTCCACTTTCTAGGGCTATAATAAACTCAACGATGCAATCACGTTGCAGGAAATCAATAAAAGAATCGTAAAGTCAATAGTCCTTGAATGATGTCGGATAGAATCATAACCAGGGCTCGAGAAACCGCCCGTCCGCCCATCCTCGGCGGTCAAAAATTCCCCGCGGACAACGAATTTCTGGAATCCGACGTCCGCGCGGACGGCCATTTTCCCGTTAATGTTCGTGATACATTTTCAATTTTTGTTATCTTACAAGAGTCTAGCTCCTCACTTCTAAAATGACCCTCTAATCTAGCAAAATAACCCACAATACAGCAACATACTGCGCATGGTGGAATTAATGTTTTCTCTGTCTGGGACTACTGCAGCAGTTGAAAAAGGCTTTTCAGCAATGAACTTACAAAAAAACACATTGCGTACTGTATTAACACATTACTGGTCTTAAACAATAAGCGTTAAGCGCAATTATGAACATCTATCTAAATAAGAAAAAACTTTCAGATTTCTGTGAAGAAACCTCTGTAAATCATTGGCTTGATTGTGGAACTGGCAAACGTCGTATTTAATTCATTTAAAAAACGCAGTATCCTCGGATAAATTGACTTTCCAGATAACTTGACCTTTGTCATTTAAATTATTTCATAAAAGAAATACTAGGTTACTATTAGTAACCTAGTATTTCTTTTATTACTGGTTAATGTAATCCTAGTAACTACTAATTAATTGTGCAATTTATATAAATGTTTGTAATAAATAATTATATTTTTATTTATTTGGAAGTTAGTTTCAAAGGAGAACAATGTTGGACAAGCCGGGTAATACTTCGAGCCCTGATCATAATTCATATTGTCAGTCTAGGAATTGTCCCGACGTCAATTCTTGTCTGAACAACTCTTATCTTTGCGGATCTGAGAACATTCGTGGAAGTTAGTTTAATTCGAAAGATACGATTGGAATTGTATTTAGCAATTCTATTTGAATAAAACAAACATTTATAATTTGAGGAAGTTATTCAATTCTTGTCTGAACAGCTCTTATCTTTGCAGATCTGAGGACATTCGTGGAAGTTAGTTTAATTCGAAATATACAACTGGAATTGTATTTAGCAATTCTATTTGAATGAAACAAACATTTATATTTTGAGGAAGTTATTCAATTCTTGTCTGAACAGCTCTTATCTTTGCAGATCTGAGGACATTCGTGGAAGTTAGTTTAATTCGAAATATACAACTGGAATTAAATTTAGCAATTCTATTTGAACGAAACAAACATTTATAATTTGAGGAAGTTATTCAATTCTTGTCTGAACAGCTCTTATCTTTGCAGATCTGAGGACATTCGTGGAAGTTAGTTTAATTCGAAAGATTCGACTGGAATTGTATTTAGCAATTCTATTTGAATGAAACAAACATTTATAATTTGAGGAAGTTATTCAATTCTTGTCTGAACAGCTCTTATCTTTGCAGATCTGAGAACATTCGTGGAAGTTAGTTTAATTCGAAATATACGACTGGAATTGTATTTAGCAATTCTATTTGAATGAAACAAACATTTATATTTTAAGGAAGTTATTCAATTCTTGTCTGAACAGCTCTTATCTTTGCAGATCTGAGAACATTCGTGGAAGTTAGTTTAATTCAAAAGATTCGACTGGAATTGTATTTAGCAAGTCTATTTGAATGAAACAAACATTTATAATTTGAGGAAGTTATTCAATTCTTGTCTGAATAGCTCTTATCTTTGCAGATCTGAGAACATTCGTGGAAGTTAGTTTAATTCGGAAGATACGACTGGAATTGTATTTAGCAATTCTATTTGAATGAAAAAAACATTTATATTTTGAGGAAGTTATTCAATTCTTGTCTGAACAGCTCTTATCTTTTCAGATCTGAGGACATTCGTGGAAGTCAGTTTAATTCGAAAGATACGACTGGAATTGTATTTAGCAATTCTATTTGAATATAACAAACATTTATAATTTGAAGAAGTTATTGAGGTAAGAAGGATCTTTAAAAACTTACTGGATCTGGATGATAGGCAGTAGTCGTATAAGGAGCTACTTTTCCACTTGCAGGACTTGTACTATTCTGTGGGGAAGAAGATTTTGGCGTTGTAGCGGCACTCCATTTACATGCATTTGTATCTAGATGAGGACAAAGTTTTGAATCGAATATAGAATGACTAGTTGACAGAGAATTACCCCACATGAGTACACTCTGCCTAGTGTCATTTGTAAATGCTGATTTATTATCCTTAGAAATATCCCTGAGATGTGGTTTTAAAACATTAATACAATCTGTCGAAGGAAAACAGTTTAAATCAGCGCTTGTCATTAAGCGTACATCTTCACAACAAGATGGTTTATTATTTTGTTCTCCATTTAACTGGCAAGGATAGTATTTTTCCTCCTTAGCAAACTGGGAACCATCTGGGTAGGTAGAAAACCTAGCCATATCTAAAAATCCATTACTGGTGTATTGATGACTGTAATCAGGATAATATCCACCCAGATGTCTATAATGTAAAAAATTTTCAGCAGATAAGAATCTACTATTATCTATTGCAGCTGTGAATATATTTTGAGGTACCGTTGCATAGGGTGAAAGTCCATTTTCCGTTGAAGAGTACGTATACATATTATTATAAGGAGTATCTTCGATATAGGTATCCGGTACTTTTCTCTTACGACATGACAACAAGTCTCGTATTTGAGATTTATACCGTCTGTTACGTTGACAACGCATAATAAAGTCACTATCAGATAACATTCCACTGCGATCATTCATTGTTGCCAAACCGCTGTCTAAATATGTTACTTTGAAATCCATTGTACGCTTACCAAGCAAATCCCTTCCTTCTTCTTCCCTGGAAAAGACGAAGTATGAGATTTCTCAATAAACACAACCCACCTAACTACCTAGCCTTGTAGTTTTGAACTCAATACAATTTCTCCCGATCCAGGAGTTCCCTTGTCTTCTGGATTGAGTTCAAAATTACAAGGCTACGTAGTTGAACATTAGTATTAGGAACCCTAAAATTGGGTCGGCTGGTCAATGATGGTTATAAAATTAAAATAAAAATTATCAAAATAGCAAGATAAAAAAAGCCCTAGATTTGCAAAAGTTTTTTTTTTTTTTTTTGCAAAAGTTCTTAATATTCACAATACTGCATTGTTTGAACTCATAAAAATATACAAAAATTGAAAATAATTTAATAACTTTTATCTAGGAGAAAAAATCCAATTTTTTTAAAGAAAATTAATAGTTTTTTTTAAATATATAAGCTTTAGTCCATTTGAAAACCCTAGACAATTCTTTACGTTATGTAACCCTACGGCTTAAATGAGCCATACATAATTACATTATATATATATATATATGTGTGTGTGTGTGTGTGTTACGTTAAAAGTAATAAACTGATTATAATATATAATAACCGGTCCACTAAATTTGGTAAGTATGATACCTTTTTGATAATGTATCAAATTAGCCGTCATAATTCCCAACTCGTAATGATAAATATGATTATGACTGAGAGTAGAATAGAGTAAGACTACTCATTGGCGTAAGAGAGCACAAACAGTCAATAAATGGTTATTTGAAGTCATTTATTTAGCCTGAACAAAATTGGAATAAAAGACAGACTGGTGCTGTGAAATGAACAAAATAATTGCAAATAAAAATACAAACTGCGTAATTCTAGAGAAAGAAATTTTTTTTTCGTTAAATGCTATTACTACAAATTACTAAATATTTTAAGAATGCTTATTTAAGCATATTAGACTGTTATGACATTTAGAATTACAAAGTTTTCCAGATCATTTGCACTTATCAGACTGGAGGTTGCTGCAAAGTCAAGCAGTTGAGCAAACTGAACGAATTTTCGTAAAGTTAGGGACTTCTACTACATTTACCGTTACGAGTTGGGAATCATGCAATAAAACTCGCTAATTTGATAAATTTTCAAAGATTTATCATACTTACCAAATTCAGTAGTGATTATGCATAATTACAGGTTATTATATATAATTACCAGTTTATTACTTGACATATATAAAATTTTTTAGTTATAGTTTGGCTTTGCGTTTAAGGTAGAAATAATCTGTCATTTTCTTTGACAAAAAGTTTCATAAATCTGTAAAGTAACAATATATATAATATTTTATAATATATTTTTTAATAATATTACATATAAACTAATAAAATCCAAAGTAGAGAAGGGGAAACGTAATGAAAATCTCGCGATTCACTACTGAAAACCTTGTCGAAACTTTGTCAGAGGAAGGAGGATAAATTGAGACTTTCTTATTACACCTTCCTTACTAGTGATTTGACAGATTTGATTGTACTCAGTGCTTAAATATTAACCTCTTTATGTTAAAGGTGTTCCTTAATGATCACACTTGAAAGTTGGGAATCTCAGATTAATCATTGAAAAAAACAAAAAAACACTATTCACCTGGTGATTCATTACTGTGTAGTAAAAGACATCCTTATTATTTAACTGCCTTCTGAAAATTGTTTCGAATAAACCTTTGTTATTCCTCCGAGTTTTCTCCGGGAATAAAACAGGTTTTTCCACAGTAGTGACTCGTTATGTTTTAATAATGCTTATCTAAATGCTGCCTCCAATTCGTTTTATATGTTGACAAGATTTTTCAAAGCATAATCATTGAGGATCATACACTATAAATATTGAAATTAACATTTTGAAAAAAACTTCTGAATCTAAAAATATTTTCTTTTATATGCATGTTTGAGAACAATGAATGTTGAATATTCCAAATAAATTAATAATTGTTACTACGGAGAATTAACATTATTTTTCTGTACTTATAATAATATTGAAAATAAAATTTTTAAAAAAAGATTTTGAAATTCAAAAATATTTTCCTTGTTTACGAACAATGAATGTTGAATATTCCAAATAAATTTGTTACTATAGAGAGTTAATACTATTCTTCTGTATCACAAACTTATGTCATATTGGTCTATTAAGAGGACGCCATGCCACGGGAGAGCTAATTCTCCTCCATTACTAATTTAAAATTGAAAAAGAAGAAAAAGTGAATTGAGGCAAGCCTAGAATAAGACATGAATTGCTGAAAACAAATTGTTGGACTTCTCCATAACGTAATCCTAAGTTATCTTCGCGTCATTTATTTTCGTTTTGATGTTTTCTTTTCAGTAACTTCATGGCTTGTTTTAGGTTTGTCTGAACTCACTTTAAATTAGTTATGGAAGTGAATTTGCAACGAAAAATTTCTCTCGTGCTATGGCGTCCCTTGAAGTAGTACAGCTTATTCAAAACAGGGAAATGTTTTAGACCTATAAAAGTTGATATATTTGAATAATTTTCTTATATACTTACATTAAAGGTCTGTGGGTGCAAAGTATAAAATCTGGTTTGCTGTTTTTGTAAACTAGTCTAGCACTAGTCTGTAACCATTGATATTTGAGATCCTTTGCAAGAAGTCTATAAGCTATAAGTCCCGAGGCACCTGTTTTCAGCACTAAAAAGAAATAAGATGCGCTTTCATGTTACTATACTTAATGACACTTTCAAATAACTAGACGAGTGAGGTATTGTATGTTTTTTAACGTTCAAGTGAATGAGACAAAAGAATACTCAATAAATAACAGTTTAGAAGAAAAGTACAAGTAGAAGCAGGAATAAAATTGTAGAATATTGCGAGTCCTTGTGCTTCATTTCATTAGATTTAATGCAAAAAAATTTCTCAAATTAGTCAATAGATACAATGTAAACATTGTATATTTTGTATCCATTATTCACACCTCTAAGCTATTAGATTCTTGAGTTTAGTTTTATTTGGAATAATATATACGCGTGATAAAATACTTCACTTGTCTAGCTTGTTACTAGACTGTAATACAAAAAGTGCAAATAAGTAAGTGTCAAAAGATAGATTTATCAATAAAACTTGTGAAATATTAGCTCTATTGTATGTTCTCATTCAAATCAAAATAACCAAAATACATAGGAGTTTATATTTCTATATAATGTTCCTTTTTGTTACATAAAATCGTTATAAGTACAGAAGAGCATTGGATAAATCCACTGTTAGTGAAAACATTGGTCAAGTGCCATTTAACCGGCCTTCCGAATGTTTCTCCTACTATATCCTCAGTAGATATTCCAATGCCGTCAATTCATCCGTATATACAGGGTGATTTTGTTGGCCTCTCTTTCAGGGGCACCATATTAGGTGGGCCAACGTCACTCCCACAACATCCATGCCTTGCCCGGGATTCGAACCCAGAACCTTTCTAATGTAATGACAGTTCCCTACACAGGCCGGTCGGCTTCCTCAGTAGATATTAAAATATCGAATAAATATCATAATTTCAACAAAAAAAGAAATGAATATCAAATCTGACAAAAAATATTTCGGACATTCACTAAAGCGACTATGCGTTATTGACATACGCAGGTGAAAGTCGACATTCTCTTGATTTTGGTCATTCACGGGAACATGTACATTCGTTTTTTCAGAAAAGGTCGATGAACCCAGCATTTCTCTGACCGACGTTGTTTTTTAAAAATCAACTCCAAGGGAGCAATTGCTTTTCTTTTTTGGGGACCACGATTTATATTTCAAGTTATTTAAAATTTAAAATTTTTTACTGAAGGAGAAAACAGTGAAAATATATTTAAATAATATGTATCAGTTCTAGAAGCTATCGGTTCCCAAGATATGGGCCAAAAGTTTGCTTCTAACAGTGTGGTACTGGGTCTTGGACGCTGGTCAATTTTGTCTTAGTTGTGTCAGATTTTCGGATAATTCACTTGTCTTAGTGGATTGCCCCTTTTTTTANTTGTTCTTTTTTGTTTTAACAAAATTATATATATATATCGGAAATGCCAGCAAGAAGAGAAAATTATTCCGGAGTAAAGAAATTTCGAGAATGCGTTTGTCTGAGTAGCATATTTAATTGATTAAAGTTTCAAGATCACAGGTTAATGCAATTAAGAGAAAAACCATTTCAAATGTTAAATACTAATAGTAGTACACGAATAAGAGGTGTAACTACCAGAATTTTTAATGCACGCATGTAAACTGGAATGTCTTTTTGGGAGTTTCTTGCCTGTTGCACTTAGTCAGCCAATACAAGGATGCTGGTTGTGGATGACATTGAAGTTGTCGTCCAATGATGTCGCATATTGGTGAAAGTACAACATTCTGTACAGCATGTTTGGGTTACAACAGCAGTATGAGGGTTATCCTGGTGGAAAATACCCTCTCGAATGCTGCTCACGAATCGTAACAAAACAAGTTGACATACGAATTTGCTCTGCCCCCCTGACTATAACTCTAGATGTAGTGTCTAGGTCAGAACTCACTTTCTAACCAATCATTTGCACCAAGACAGAACCGACTTTCATCACAAAACAAAATAGATCTTTCTCAAGTGAGCTCTAATTCAACACCACTCACTTCGGCAGTGACTTGGAGTGAGCGTCTCCCTCTGAACTGTATTTGAAGTAACTGATTTCAAACAGTTTTTTGTGTCACTGCACTACAGCTCGAAATTCTGATACCCTCTGAGTAGTGCCAAAACCCGGTTTTCTTGAACCTTCCCTTGACCACTACTGAAGCAGGCACAGTGATGGCTCAGAGGATTGAGCGTTCGCCTTCTAATGAAATGAACTGGGTTCGAATCCCAGTGATGACTGGTCGATACGAATTCACCATCAGGCTTGCACCGACCACAGTGTGGATGTTAATTTTTCTCAATGGCAGACGAATCACGGGTCCCCTTGCCGTCTGGCCAACCATGAGAACTCTCCATGTAACGCAAATGCGGGTTAGTTCCATCAAGAAGTCCTCCACGAAGGCAAATTTCTCCCAATACTTGATCCAGTCTTTCTGGCTCAAAATTACGAGGAGTTGAAGCCCAAATATTGGGTTATAAAATAATGGATTCTCTTCTGCAGAAAGAAAATCTACCTCAGTTATACATTGTTCTCAGAGGCATTCTTCACTGTGTCAAAATTTAACGCAACCCTCATTTTCATGTTCACAGTGTCGATCTTTTATTTAGCCTTCTTGGTAACTATATATTTATATACTTCCTATTTGTATTTAATTTTAACGTATTGTATTACAATGCTCACCAATTGATGCGCACGGTTTCATCCGAGTAAAAACAATAAAGTTGTATATTATAATTAAGATTTTACATGGAATCTTATACAATAATTTAGTCAATCTATATATATTTATAAATTTGATAGTCCCCACAACTAAAAATTTTAAGAAGCACTCATATAAGCCAGATATCGAAATAATAAATTAATTGAGAAGTGGGCAGCCTGGTCAGTAGGGCGTTGGGTCCCGAGAGTTCGTGGATTCGAACAACGCCGGCCGAGGACTCCCTATGTAGTTGGTGACTGATGCTCGTTAAAATTCTGTCGAGTCGCAAAGTCCTCCATGTTCCCATAACAGATCAATACCTCTGGGGGTACTGGATTGGAGATCGATCGTTCTCTGATTCAGGTCAAAATTACGATCTGTGGATGAATGAATGGATGTATGAATGGGTCCGCCTTATAAAACAGGTGTTACGTATGATGTGGCAGAAGTCGAATTCTCGGCCATAGATGGCGCCACTGAAAAACAAGAATCTCACACTCTGCCTTAAATTTGCTCGGTTTCACCCAGCAGGCTTGCCCGTGTGGCAAGTGGCATTAGAACCAGTCAACCAATTGAGAAGTACACTAAATACAGGATGCGTATATAATTAAGAAGACAACTTACATTCCTGATGTGCACTGGCAACATAAGCGAGATCATCGTAATGAACAAGATCATAACCACCTTTATTCGAAAGTTCAGAATCAGAAAATCCTAGAAGTTGTTTTCCCCTGAAATATTTTGAAAAATAATAACAGAAATTTAAGTTAATTACATTACATTTCCATTACAAATTTATAAAAACAGCTTAAAATTTTTTTTTTAATGCGAAGTTTTGAAAATTCAATTTAAAAATTTTTTTTCACGAGCATTAATGTTTGCCAATAAAAAACGATAGGGGTGAATGTTTAAGCTTATGTTGAGGAAAATTTTTTTTTTTATTTTATTTATTTTCTAGTTACTGAAAACGTTTTTCTATCAAATTTAATTAAAAAATAAACTTCTTACATTTGAAAGTAGAACTAAGTACCATATCTCAAATTTACAAATGTTTCAAGATATCTTTTGACTTAAAAAAACTATACTATTTTTTGTTCTTTTTTGTTTTAACAAAATAAAAGAAAGAGGTTAATTTTGCTGATCTCTATTGTATTTTGAACTGGTTGAAGGCATGAGGTGTTACCATTTAACAGAAATATAATCGCCTGTCAACTTATTATTGCTTGCAAAATGTTGTGTAAATATGCATTCATTGGATGTTCAAATCAGTTACAAGAGAGCACTACTAGAAGGTTATGTAGAAATTGATAAGTCTTAAACGTCTTATTGTAAGTTTGCTCATCTGGTAACAGCATAACCTCCAAATATTAGTGATTCAGTATTAGCGTTACATAATTGTTTTCGTGTAAAAATGTATGTGCGAAATAAGCGTCACTTGCGGGAACTTTTGATTTACTTCTTTAATTTGAAGAGATCTGTGCCTGAGGAGCATCGATTGCTTGGAGAAGCATGTGGTGAGGCTGCTTTAAGTGAGAGAAGTTATCGTGTCAGAAGTTTAAAAACAGTGAGTTTGACGTGGAAGACAAAGAATGCAGTGGAAGGCCGAAATTGTACGAAGACAAGGAATTATTGGATTCGTCCGAGAAGCAAAAAGAATTTGCTCTTACATTACAGTGACTCAGCAAGCAATTTCATATCGTTTAAAATGGTTGGGAATGATCTAAAAACAAGGAAGTTTGTTCCATGCGAACTGAAGCCAAGAGACATTGAAAATTGCTACTTGGAAGTACAATGGTAAGCTGTATTTGCCAGATTATTACCTATTCCGGTCAATGACAGTCTGATCAGAAATTTACATCATTTGAAGAAACCGAGGGTCGATTCGTGATTATCCTCGGAAGACGACGTGGTATCTGAATGCTCCCCAAAAGATTTGAAAAAGTAGTGTCTAGTAATGGAGAAAACTTTGAATAAAAGATAGTGTACTGTTATTTCATAATAAACTGCTCATTTTTGATAGCTTTATTTTTACTCCCATTAGATTACTTTTTTATTACGTTTATGACTAGTCGAATTTATCTTAGATAATACAAGCTACTTAAAATCTTCATTAAAAATAAGTCACATGAATTCAAACAATTTCAGAAGAAAGGAACTCAAATTGAGGGGTATTTCAATTTTTAAACTTTGTACATTAGGTATGTATACAGATAACTCAATCGGTACTTTTCCGTTAGCGAAAAATCGCCAAATAACGTATAATTCCGCCAAGTTATGGTTGTTGGAAATCTTTTGGTTGCAAGAAATTAGTTGCAAGAAATTTGAAGTTCTACATTATTCGGCGATTTTTCACTTGCGCCCAGCTAACGGAACACTCTATCATTTTAAAATAAATAAATAAATTGCATACCTTGTGTCCATTGAGACTAGAGATAAATCCAACTTATGTTTGCTTTTAAACATGGAATCTTTTTGAGGCATTTCAAGTAAGGATGGAGGACCAAACGGTGTGCAGACAGCAAACAATGCTAAAGGTGGTTCTTTCTGATTTTGCCCATGAAGAATTTTGATTCGCCCTCGAATGTCTAATCTCTAAAATATTCGCACAATAAGTTGCATTCAAATATTTATAAAATAATATAAGAGTCAAACTTTTCTTACCAAAAATCCGGATGTATTGTCCAAAAGACAGCGAAAACGAACGGTGAAATTTCGCTCCAGATATTGACAGTTTTCTGAAACATTAAATCTTAGTTAATCCTTTCAGGAAAACAAGTTTTCATTCATCATCCATTAGTTTCCTTCTTTTTTTTAATGGTTTTTATTGACTCATTAATTACAAGAAATTAAGAGCTCGATTATCTCTAGAGGACCAATTTTAATGTACAATACAAACAAATAACCATTCAACAATTGTAATACACACGGATGATTGTACGTAACACTCGTTGGAGTATGAAACAGCGGTAAACAAAAAAGGGGTTAATAGGGTGTGGTCCCTTCTTACAGATATACAGGCCTTTCACCGTGATTTCATACTTGAAATAAGGCAGTTTATCATTTCTTGTGACCATTAGCCTGAATTGTCTTGTGGCAATTTCATGCCTCCAACGCACGATCATGCGTGCGTATTAAAATTATTGAATGGTTATTTGTTTTGGATTGTATCAATGTATTTACGCATCAAATGTTATTAAAATCGATCCAGTTGTTCTAGAGATAATCAGCAGTGTGTTTTAGACCAACCAAAATCTTTAATATTAAGTGCATTCCTAAAGGAATTATAGAAGCCATATTTTTGCTGATATTGGGCTCTATTTTGAGGGCGTCAACTTTATATGTTATTAAAAAAAAACTTTCTTTAAATAACTACAGTACATTATGATGGGCTAAGCAAATATTATTTCTTCTCATATTGTTAGGTATTGATGCGTATTTTCCATGGAGTATAAACAATACTGTATATTATGTCGCGTAATTAAAAGGAAAATATATGACACTTTTTTAGAGTATTACGATGTCCTTATTATAATATTTAAAGTACGTGTGACTTGTGTAAATTACTAGTTATCGATGAAAACACAATCAAGGCACCCCAAAGTTATTTAAAAAAATATTAACCAAACTGCGAAACCAAGAAATGAGTTTCCTGATACGGGACACTGTCAAGATAGCACCTAAACATATTAAACACGTAAATTCCATTTGTTATAATGTTAAAACATTCAAGGAAAAAGTAAAATATTCCTTTTTGTGTGCGCTTATTTCATTTTCATTTATAAAGTTTATGCAAAAAAATTGCCTTCTTTAACATCATTACTTTCCAGACTTTTGGGCAGAAGATATTATCAAAACACATTAAACAGTAACACGTAAATTCTATTTGTTATACGTAAACACGTAAATTCTATTTGTTGTAATGTTAAAACATTCAAGGAAAAAGGAAAATATTCCTTTTTGTGTGCGCTTATTTCATTTTCATTTATAAAGTTTAGGCAAAAAAATTGTCTTCTTTAACATCATTACTTTCCAGACTTTTGGGCAGACGATATCATCAAAACACATTAAACAGTAACACGTAAATTCTATTTATTATACGTAAACACGTAAATTCTATTTGTTGTAATGTTAAAACATTCAAGGAAAAAGTAAAATATTCCTTTTTGTGTGCGCTTATTTCATTTTCATTTATAAAGTTCAGGCAAAAAAATTGTCTTCTTTAACATCATTACTTTCCAGACTTTTGGACAGATGATTGAATTTACGGTGTAGGATGATTTAATTCACCGTTCATTAGCAGTAAAAAGATAAAAAAAAATTATAAATATGAGAAAGTAAAGTTGCATATTAGTAGAGTTGCAATCATTGGCAAACACCCGGGTTTTACCCGGGAATTAAGCGGATTCTTTTGGAAAGGAAAATTGAATTTTCATTCAAAATAAGCATTCAACTCAAGGCATTTTTCAGCGGAAGTGCTGGAAGTTTATCGCAAGAAGCATTACTAAGCTGATTAACTTTTTAAAATTTTTACTTAATCTTTGAAAAATAACGTCATTTTTAATATCTTAAGCTAGCGATGCCTAAAAATGTGAAATTACATTTTCTAATAATCGTAATCTATATTTTTAGCCGATATTTTTTGAAAAATGTTTAATAACATAGAAATTAAACTCAGTAATTTTTTCTAATAAAATTATAAATATAAAATATTAAATTTAAAATTGACATTTTAATAAAGTGTTGAGAGATTATTTAAATGGATGAATTATTAAATTGCTGCCATTGTTCAGTTAAAGCTGAACAATAATTCTGCTCAAAAGCAAATGTTACGCAGTTTTTTTTTTTTTTAATATTGCAGCTATTATATTCCATAAATTAATCTCACACTTGATATAGGAAAAAAAGGCAATTTTGTTTATCTTCAAAATTTCCTGAAACTTTGGGTTTAATCAACTATCCTCAGGATTTTTTTTTCTAATGTTAGGATTTTTAAGAAAGAATGTTTCAAAAAGTTGACCTCAAATATGCTAAATATTTAATCCTAATTATTAATTAAGTCACGAGACCAAAAAAGTAGTTTCTCAGAAAGAACATACCTTTTTCGACGGAACTATCAAAGTGACGATAGCCACGCGGCCTGTTAAATACTGTCCCAATAATTTACAGTCCCTGCTCAAATTATTAGACGCACTATAAGATTCTATGTAAAATTATAATTATCAGGTGATACTATACAGCTTTATTGTTTTGACGAGACCGCACTTCTTTACGCTCCTGTATCAATTAGTTAACATTCTAATGCAATACCTTAAAAATAAATGCAAATAGGAAGTATATTAAAAATCTCCCGAATAAAAACCCATTACATATATGTTTAAATAGAAAAGTATTGCATATAAACTCGCGCAAATCATGTCATTATTAAAAAACTACAGTGCGTTTAATAATTTGATCGAATTATTATAATATACTACGTACGACCTCGAAAATCCGGACTTCTGAAATCCGGAAATCTCTAAAATCCGAACTCATACGTCCAGTTCCTCAGAAAAAATTTTCAAAAGAAAATTTTTTAAAAAAATCGCTTAGAATAAAAATTTTAATGCAAAACCACAACTCTTCTCCAACAATGAANATTATTAAAAAACTACAGTGCGTTTAATAATTTGATCGAATTATTATAATATACTAATACAATTCTGGATCGATATGATAAACATTCTATATTTATATAATATATACACTAATTTATTTAATAGTCAAATTTATATTATATATCGTCTAATTGAACCAATTGATGCACGAACGTAAACAAGTGCAAACCGGTTTCAATCACGTAAAAATACTTAAAGTGCGTCGAATAATTTCTCCAGGGAGTGTAATTCTATTTTCTGCATATTTCACGTTATCTCGGGAATTTTAGAAGCGGATGTAAAAATGTTTTCCTTACAACTATAAATTTTATTTATCCACACATAATTCCATACAAAAATTATTTTTTTATAATCTACTATTTCTTATTATTTAAATTTAAAAACGGTCAAAATAATTTTGAATTGGATGGTAGTCAAATTTTACATCGTTTAAAGCTATGTAATTTTTATTGCAAAATACGAAATTTCCCCGAAATTGGTTTAAGAGATTCTGCGTTAAAAAAATATTTAAAAAAAATAAATCATACTCTTAAATTTTAATTTCTCCCATATAAGCTAAATTTTACTTCAATTCTCTAAGATGTTGATCGTTTTTTAAATTGTTAATCGGAATTCTAAAACAAAAACTGAAGTGAATTTTGCAAATATTAATTAAATACTAATACTAATAAAAGTGTCAAACTATCAATTAAAACTGAGTTAGTTTTAGAAAATCTGACAATTTTTTATTAAGGTTAATTTGTATTAGACATCATTTTTCTTTTCATTACTTATACATTTCAGCCAACAAAACCAAATGAGACATTTGTTTAAGTAATTCTAATCAAATTAGTTTGCATACTTGGTTAATTGAAACTAATCTATTTGCTTGGTTTATTTGAAGAAAAGGAATCAATTTTCTTATAGAGTTTAAGTGAGCTTATTTCGACTTATTTCATTTACAAATGAACACTAAAGTAGTCGAACATACCAAATCACTGATTCGAATTGATAAGTATATTTATTGGGCTGGCAACAAGGTTCCTGCCGTTTTTTTTTTCGTCATTTCTTCTTCATTATTATTATTATCATTTGGCATGTCATTAGGTGTTTTGATGTTGTCGTCGGCCATGAAGGCAGAGGGGGTGCGATGGTTCTTTTTTTCCAGGGGCGTCATCTATGGCCAAGAATTCGAACTCTGCCATACCCATGCGTCACACCCGTTTTATAGGGCGGACCCATTCATACATCCATTTATTCATCCATCGATCGTTATTTTGACCTGAACCAGGGACCGATAAACCTCCAATTCATTACCACCCAGAGGCATAATTTGTTATGGGACTTTGTGACCTGACAAACTTAACGTGCACTAGTCACCATTACGAATCCAGCCGGGAGATTGCCCGCCTTGATTCTAGCTCCCATCTCACGAGTCCAGCGACCTGCCAACAAGGCTATCCCGGCCATTAGGTGTTTTTGGCATCATTCGATAGAGGACCGAACTCTAATGTTATTCTTTTTGTTGCTAGAATTAATTTTTATTGATTTTCAATTCATTAAAATTGAATTGATCGCTTTTGATTCATTTCTTTTTGTTCGAAGCATTTATACTGTGTGTGAAGAGGGTGCATTAATATATAGAATCGCTCGTGGTAGGTATGCTAAATTCAAAAATAGATAGCTTAAAGATGTGTCAAATTATGCTTGATAAAGAGCGATTAAACAATCCCAGGAAGCATGTAACAATTTTCTTTTCATTATCACCAAAATGTTTTCACTAAAAACCTTTTTTCAATAAAGCAAAAATATTGCACTTTCAAACCTTTCATCCTGAAAGGGTTAAAAATTATTTTAAAGCTTTTTTTAAGAAGTATTATCACCTAGGTAAAATGGTCACTTAGGCCCATCATGACGTTTTAGTTGAGGTCACAGTAGTTATCGGATCAAATTGCATTGTCCATTAAAATTTCATGACAAAGTGAATTTTAGCTGAACATACAAGGCGAAAAGAATCCTTATCTAAATTTAAGATTATTTTCACCTTCATTCACGCTTGAACCTCGATTTAAGGATTTTATATAGAAGGTTGTTTTGAGGATTGGTGTGGTCTCGTTTTAAGATTGGAAGCAGGTAACCTTTACATTAAAAGGTTTTTGCTGTGTGAAAATATTGCTATGTGGGAGTTCCAAAGGAGAAATCAAACCAGTAGAGGACACAATCAGAAAATAAAGAACTAATTGAAAATAATAGGGAGTAACTCACCAAATTAAAGAGCAGCATCGATTCCTTGAGAGAATTATATAAATGAAAATGAACTCACCTTTTCTTTTTTGAGACTGTACTCACCATAAATAGTACTCACCAAGTGTTTGTTGTAAGTTGAGATCTGTTCTTTCTGGAGGTAATTGAGAATTCCACAATAAGTGTCTTTGAAGTTCTTCTCTATCTTCTGAATGCACAAGTTCATAAACACTCTGATGACATATATCACTCTGAAAAAACACACAATTGCTCACACGGCTTTGTTAAAACAATAAATTTGCTAATTGTAAGAGAATTTGTTGACCGATTGTAATACACGGGCATTATGGTGCGTAACAGTCGAAAGGTATGAAACAGCGGTTGCAGAATAAATTGGTTTATACTTGAAATAGGGTCAGGGGCCCCCATCAGGGGGGAAGGTGGGGGCACGATGAGCCCACTTAAAGCTTGGGGGGGGGGAATTCTTACACTAAATAAAACGAATAGTTTTGGGGGGAATTNGACGAGAGAATTTGTTTTTTTTTTAAGTACATAAATAAAAAAAGCTAACATGGAAGGGGAAAATTAGCAATTTTTTTTGGGGGGGGGGATGAATGCCTCCTAGAGCTTGGGGGGGATGGGGGCCACTGAATAAGGTCATCATTTCCTGTGGCAACTGGCCCAAATTGTCCTGTGGCAATTTCATACCTTCCGATTCCAACGAGTGATGCATTCCAATTGTTTCATATTGCATCAATGTATGTTGTAGAGATAATCTCTGCTCTTAATTTCTTCTACCAGTGTAATTAACAATAAAATGTGGTTTTAAAATGTGTTGTAAAATTTGATAAACGTAGTAGTATTTGGTAATTTAATCATGATACCTTAGAAAATGGCATAAAAACTATTTTTTCTGTTAAATTTACTTTTCAGTTTGTATTTTTTTCTTAATTTGTGATAATAAAAACTATAAATTTAAAACTTTGAATTTTCAGTTAACCATTACAATATGAAGGGGAAATTTATTAAATGAATGGTTTAAATACCGTATATTTTAGTTTCATTGACCCGCAATTGCACAGTTCTCAATCAATGCTTATAAATGTGCCTAGTTTAAAAAAAATAAAAAGATAAAAAGCAAACTTTGTCCTTAATAATGAATAAAAATCTTTTTTGATATTACAAGAAATGTTTCAAAATTTGGCTTGATTTGAAGTATTTATTTAGATTATTGTCGATGTTTTCTCTCTATTTTGTAAAGAAAGTATTTCATTCAATTTCTACTAGAAATTTTGCAAATATTTCGCTCAATATCATTTACTTTTTTAAGAGATTAGTGCAGCAATTTGCTTTGAATAACGATAATTTAAAAAGTAAATATTACATTGCTATATTTCCCATTACTATTAAAATTTAATTAATAGACGAATAACTTTTGATCTTAATGGTAAATATGCTAATTAATAAGGACAGACAATATTTTAAGTTACGAAATTAGATACAAAAACGTACTTTGGTCAGATTAAATATGCTTTTTATTTTTTATTTTTTTATTTTTACTTTTGATTCCCAAAATATAGGGAGTAGCCGCAATCTGAAAAATATGGTCCAAACTGTTTGATCAGGAGAGTGCTTCGAACTTTGGACCCCTTAATATTAATTTTACTTTTTGCGTATTTTGTTATATCTTGAGAACTTTTTAAGCGAATTAAAGAGTTTTTGCACACACTTATAAAATTCGTTTATCCAAAAATAATTCCATGCAGAAAAATAACTTTATTAAATATTTGGTATAATTTATTATTATATTTAACGATAGTAAATTTTTATTTTATTTTAAAGTGTACAGTTTTCTGCTTCATTTTAGAGAATATAATTTTACATGGCAAAATACAAAATTTAAGCAAAATCGGTCGAATAGTTCCTTGGAAATAAAATTTTAAATATCTGACTTTTTTGAAATTCCATTTCTCAGGAACTATTCGACTGATTTTGCTCAAATTTTGTATTTTGAAATGAATAATGATATTCTTTAAAATGATGCAAAAAATTGTATACCCAACATTTTAAATTTTTTCGACCATTATTAAATAAAATACGAAAAAATAGATTATTTTTTTGCATGGAATTATCTTTGTATAAAGGAATCTTATAATTGTGTTCAAGAATTTTTCAATTCTATTAAAAAGTTCTCGAGATATAATGAAATACGCAAAAAGTAAAATTAATAGCTTAGGATCGTTCTCCTGACCAAACTATTGGAACCATATTTTCCAGATTGCGGTTACAACCTTATACTTTGGTTCTCAGAAATCTGTCAACAAAGGGTGTGTTTATCCAGAGAAAGTACATTATTAAGTCGAATTTCGTAACTTCAAGTATCGTCTGCACTTACTAATTTGCATATTTGAGACCATCCCCTCAAACTATTAAGATTGAGTCCTAGAACGTGAAAATCTGATCATTAGATCAAAAGTTATTCAGGGTGATCGGTTTTTTTTCTTCTTTTTTTGCGCACAGTACATATGTAAGTTAATGTTACTTTATTGTTTTTCTTGAATATTGAATCAGTAAATTCAAATCTATCCCTTAATCTCAATGTAAATACAAAGAAAGTGTAGCATTATTGACAAATTCAATGGAGCAAAATTTATCAAATAAATTTTGACAGATTTAGTTTACCTTTTACTAAAAAAATTTTTCCGATTGATAAACCATTTTTATTATCTATTTTGATGGTGTTAAATAATAGTGAAATCATAGTCGTCATAATTATCTGAAATATTTTATACAACTGTAACAGAATTTGATAAAATGTTTCGGATTTAAAAAACTAACTAATTATTATAATATAATTAAAAAAATAAAACAGTTTTTAAAGTAATAAAGAAAGCTAAGTTTATGATTTTTGCTCTTTGCATTCGACTGCTTTGCAGCAGTAAAAAGTAAAGGAAGAAAAAAAAGAAGAAAAAGTTAGCAAGCCACTGTCACTAACTAGGATAGTTAAAAGGATTAATTAATAAAATTTAAATGCTCAGTTTCCTTAATGTTTGGAAAATATTAAAAATTAAATGAAATTAATTTCATATACAACGGCAAGTCTCCTTCAACTATATCATTGTTTTAATTTGAATACTATAAAAAATTAAGTGAAAATTATTTGCCTGGAAATACAGCGCAGTTTCTATATGCGTCTTTTAAAACATTTATGTATCTTTTTAAAGTTGTACGTAAAAGCAGCCACAAGCTAAAAAAAAAGTTATAAATATATAGTTGCCAGGGACATTTGCACGCCACTGTATATATATAAAATAATTAAATCGTTATCAGACAAATTATTTATTTTTCATCGATTATAATATATAAATTAAAAAGTTTTTACAAAAACTCTATTAGCTTGATTTAGTGCTGCCATCTGCTGAGAATAAACGAAATCATGAAAAATTGTACAGTATCATTTAACATGGAGGATGAAGAGAGAGAGAGAGATGTTAAGAGAGAGATCAAAAGGAAAGGCTATTTTGCCACATTTAAATAAGGTGCTTCATTACTTAATTTTTTGTAATAACAATCTTTAAAGTAATAGTACAATGTAAAAAAAAAAACTCTATCAATTAAATTTAGTGCTGCCATCTGCTGAGAATAAATAAAATCATAAAAATTTGTACCGTATCATTTAACACGGAGATTGAAGAGAGAGATAGACAGATGTCGAGAGAGAGATCGAAAGGAAAGGCTATTTTGCTCCATTCAAATAAGGTACTTTATTACAAGATTTTTTGAAATAACAATCTTCAAAGTAATAGTACATGTAAAAATTGTTGCAAAAAAGAAAAATAGATGAATTATTCGTTATTTTATTTTATTTTTATGGTTGCAATTAATATCATATTTAGTTCGTTGAAATGAATAAGATGGTACAATAATTTGAAGACTTATGCTTATATCTACCAAAAACGATATTTCTATTTAAAATAACAAGCATTATTTAAGATAAAGTAATTTTGATCGAATTTTAAAAAATGGATAGTTAGACGATATTACTTTGACATTTTGATGCCATTTTAAGTTCGTTTTTAGTATAATCCAAGTAATTTTGATTATAGTTTTGTGCAATAAATATACATTTGAAAGTGTATGTAGGCTTGTTTTCCTAAAAAAAGAACAGTTTTTCTATTAATATATTTTTTAATAATTCATTTGTTACTTTTCATGATTGTACTTAAAATCTGATTAAGTTCAATATCTTTTTTTTTTTGCTTACAATAATATTAAATGTGAGGTTAAATAATTTTTTTTTCCATTTTACTCAAGTGTCATGTACACTTTTTCTGACTCTGTTTATAGCGATCCTTTTTAATAATAGTAAATGTTACTTGCAATATAAAGTAATTTATTATCAGGAATAGAAATTTTTGTAATCGCTAAATATTGTATGCTTTTTTTCCTATTGAGAAACTTTAATACAACACTTACCTACTTCTACCATAGCCGGTCAATGGACCGGACTTCTTGATTGAATGTATGAAACATGGATGTTAGGAAGGAAATAAACTAAAACAACTTTACTATTATTAAGCAAAATTGTATGTTACCAATTTTTATGTATTACAACCACAAAGAATAAGAATTTTTAATTCATAGCTCAAAGCATTTTTTACATATACAGGGTGTTTCTATTGTACATTTTCCGCAAACATATTTCTTCTAATTATTATCATTTCTATAATTCTTATAATCATTCTTACAATTATTCTTATAATCATTCTTACAATTATTCTTATAATTATTCTTATAATTATAAGAACATATAAGAATGAAAAGATTTCTAATTCTTATAATTATTCTTATAATTGATATTATTTCTTCTAAGAACTTGTACTGTCTTGATTGTTTCGACCTTTTTCTGGGTCAAAACTAAGAGTTAGTTGGAAATGAAGTAAAGCTATCAAAATAAAATATAAGCTACTTACCAAAACATTTAGTTTATGTCACTTACACAATAATGCCAATCTAAAATTTTTGGTACTTTCTTGAAATTTAAATTCACAGTTATTCTGATTGAACTAACTACGCATCAGTCTTTGCAGAAATGTGCAACTAATCGAATGCAATAAGTTGAACATTCTGATCCTTATAAAGCAATATCCTGGTCAAATGACCGGTTGTGATAGAATATTCGAAACAAACAACAATTAAAAAAATAATAATAATAGAATATTAACTGTATATAATTGTTAGAAAAAGTCAT